GTCTGTCGTCCCTCGGTCTATCTGCCATGTCAAGCTTTGTGCATATTTCACTCGCTCGCTTACGCTGGGCCTTCGTGTAGTCATTTCTTGAATATCCGCTCTGGTTTCCGGCAAGATCTTCTGATCAGTTCTCATTTATCCCTTACTTTTTTTCCATCCAGTTCCCCTCACTTTCCTTAGGCATCGTTTTAAGTGCGTATTTCAGCAAAACTCTCATCACATTTCTCAGAAGCCAACGTCTTCTCACCCATAAATTAGTGGTTTCGCTCACACAGCAATGTTTCATCGCCATATCTTCAGGCGGCCAGATTTTGATATTATTTTTGCGATTTTAGGAAGTATGTTGGTAAGTAGAGTGACGTTGTCCCTCCAGTGTGGAATTTCTTCAAAAGACCGTGACGAATATAACCCCTGTGCGCAAACAGGGAGACAATGCAGGGTAATTGTCAATAGTTGAGGTCACAAAAGGTCATTTAGAAACATCCATTACCATCAACGTCGTGTTAGATTCTGACTTCCCTTCATCATCTGTTGCCGGCTGTCCGTCTGCAGCCTGATATTGTCCTTTGTTCCGCCCTAACCTGCTTTTTGTATACAGGTTTCAGAAAAATTTGGAGGATGCTAGTCGACAGGTCGCCGCGCACAATCGTATGCGGGATCTGCATCACAAGTACTTCGCCCTGGACCCTCTGGTCATGCCAAATTTTCCAGGAATCTGATGTCACTGGGGTGTATCCCCTGTAACGCATGTTTTTCAATCTGCCTCTACACCTGATCAGTGCCAGCGCCATCTGGTTACTGGCACCCTCACTGGCGCCTCCATCGGCTGTGTTGTTTATTTTACCTGCCTTCTACCTTTTCACACTTTATATTTACTCTTCCTATCGACGCTTGTTTTTAACTTTATATATATGTATAGGAAGTATTCAACGTGATCCATATCTTGGAGTATACACTTTTTGATCTGATCTGCCTGCCTTATTGCATTTATCATTATATTCTCCGTTTTTTTATGTATGGACATGCACTTTGACCATTCGCACAACCAGGTTTTTGTCCACACCGGAACCACTACTATAGGTCGACAACGTTTCTGCTCCCACCATTTGCAAATACAGTCATGTGTTCACAGGCACTTGCTGCGTTCTCTCTTATGAATGCGTTTCTTTTTCTCTGGCTGGCTTTTGTCCACAGTCTCGGCTTTTTGTATCTAACAATACTTTCCTTTTACGAGTTGGGCATGTTTGACACACCTTAGCAGTCCCGCCGCTACTCACTAACAGTACAGTTGGTTGGTAGCTTAGCACAAGTTGACACCATGACAAATTGTAATTCCTTGTGGACGCCTACACGGCAGTTCGATCGCCAATTCCGAAGGTGTCCATCGTGCGCTACACACCAAGGGGCCGCAGGCACGGCGGCTTGCGCGTGAATTAGTTTATAGTAATATTAGACGTGCACAGCGTCTACCGCACTCTCTCTTCCCCACTTCCCACCTGGACCCGCTGTCAAGAGAGAGTCAGGAAGACTGGTGGCTTGGGAGGGCGCAAGTAAATGGCACGGTCGAGCCCGCGCCTTGGCGCTCCACTCCACACCCCTGGTCCACCCAGCAAATGACCAGATTTTTGACAAACAGCAGCGACACCCCCGCAGGAGTCAGAAGGACGATGATGATTGGGCAGCCATGCTCACCTGGATACCCAGCGGGAGCGCACGCGCATCTACCGGCAGGGAACCAAGTGTCAGGGAACTGCCAGCGCATTCCAGGCTGCAATGGCCATGGTTTGCTTATACTGGCGTAGCACACGCTTATAGATCTTTTTATCTGTGGCGTAATCTGCTGAGGACCAGAGAAGGGATAACGATGCACAAGTTTTCAATTCGATAAATGGGTGACAGGAAAAGCTACTATGGGATCGGTGAGGACCGTCGTTAGTTCTGTTTCGCGAACCACATCTTGAAGGAATCTCAATCAAGATTGAATGTATACGACTAGCCGAACGGGGCACTATATCTTGCGCTAGGCTGCTTGACCACACGACCGTCTACCTATCAGATCCTTCAACTTTTTTCCCTGAATAAACTTTGCCATAGATTGTTGAATGTAGCCTACTTGACAGTACAGGCATTAGCTAGAAACTGAAGCACGCGTTTCCCCGACATTCTGCCGCTGCATGACACAGGTGCCAGGGGTTCGGCTTGTTAGTGGGTCCTCCAGCGTTCCCTGTGTGCTTTCTGGTAGATACTCCGGTTTCGAGTTTGCAGGTCTTCAATTTCATAGAAATTAATCGTTAACTGCGGGTAAATCAGTACATTAGTAACTTATAGGGCTCAGACTGAACTGCGTGATATTCGAAAACTGCCAGTATATGTGTGTGCATGAATGTTCTACGATGAATGCAACGGGCGAATAAGGGCTAGAATAGAGGTTTCGATTATTTTTCTATTCACCCGGCAGGCAGTCACTGTTCGATCAAATAATACACATTGGGGTACAAAGATTTCCCACAGCAGATGCCAAAACTCACGAACCGTTGGTTTTTAATTTTGATATGCAATTTTGACTGAAACTCACTTCTTAGGTGGGCTTATAATACTGTCATGCAGCCTAGTGGCAAAATATTCCGGTCAGGCTGGGACGTCGGCTTCTGAATAGACGTCTGTTCTGTCACCATCAAAGATCATGCTCACCAAAGGAGTGACTGCGAAAGTTGTATTAATTTTTACCATGGTTTTTCGACGTCTCTATATGTCTGTATAAATTTTGTTGAGAACGTGCACAAGAGTTTTCTTTGGCCTATTTTTCAGGAAGTTGTGTTGAAATTCTTTACTTAAACAACTCGAAGAATTCAAGTCTGGCAAACGTACTCTTTCGATCAATCATAATCAGGGCTGTACAGTAACATAAAAGAGGACAGAATAGCAAATATGCTGAGTTATCTTTTCCCAGGGGAGTGTTAGCGCTTTATGCAAGCACAAGGCTGGATCGGCTAACCGTAGGGCCACTGCCTCTGCCGTCGCTAGTATTCGTCGACGCAGGAACTTGTTCGTTGCAGTCATCGTCTGCCGTCACCGACTGCGTGTTTATGACGAGACGACTTGCGTAGCGCATCCTGTGCGCTCTCCCGCCGACAACCGCATTCCCTTGTTGGGACGCTCAAAGCGACAGCAGACGGACAGTGGCGCAGTAGATGAGAAATCTGAATAACCCGTCAACCTGCGCCGCGCACTTGCTTCCCATACACCGCACCGAGCAAAATTATGTGTCACATGCCTTATTGAAGAGCGTTGTCATAAGGGTCATAGCTAGCCGTTGTAACCTAACTGGCTCCCAAGAAGTACGTCGTTTCTAAGGGTCCTTTATTGTTAGCATTGGGGAAGTCGGGCATTGGAAGCTGTTTGCGTCTACCAGATGCTATTCCCTCTGTCTATTCAGCGGCAATTCCTAATCTAACAGACTGGAATTAAAATGGAACGACGAGGGACTCGATGTAAGGCCCCTTCGAGGGAAGATTGCCAACAGACCGGCTAACTCTGTCCTCCTCCCAGGAAGGAGTCGGGCTACGGTGATTCCTCGATGTGTACTATAAGGCAATATGCACTCAGGTGGGGTCCGGACGGCCCCTTGGGCGAAAAACCCGCCCACCGAGCGCGGATCAAGCGTGTGGCGTCCGCAGACGGGCTGTTTGAAAACTACTGCGCCCGATCTCGCCTCCAGTCTTCTTGACATCCTTTTGTGACCGGGCTAAAATCGGTTGATGCAGGGCAAGTCCATAATCACTATGAACGAGTTAACGCGCAAGCTACTGTTCCAGAGCCTACCGTACCGTACGGACACAGTGGACATAGTCGCCCGCAACGACCAAATTGTCGTGAGGCACTCAAAAATGGAACTAGGTCTACTATGAAAGAACGTCTGGGATCACGATGATAACAGGTCTTCATTGTGTTTCGGCGTTGTTGTCAGCTTTTCCTCCCCCTCTTGCAAGCAGTGTTGACTGGAATAATCATAGGGCGCGTCAGTGACTTGCGCGCAACTTTGTTTTGTTGTGTTGCATTTGCTCTGCATCTGGCCCACTCCGCTATTTTCACACGGACTGTGTTCGGATAATCAGAAAAGGGGTCAAGACTGACGTCAGACTTTAATAAAACCATCTGAAATACTACGCAGGTGACTGCATAGTAAAACACCCATCGATTGTTGGCCCTTTGAACTACATTTTTTAACGTGTCGTAGCCGTCACGATCACGCAACATCTGTCATAGCGAAGGATGCGCTGAATTTCCATGAGGAAATATGCCCTGCTATTATTCTCTCTCCCCTTTATTTGCCATGTTCTAGTGGCTTTCCAACCGACTGGCGAAGGGGGTTTTGGGGCGTCAACTCTCGTCCAACCCGGGTGCCGTGTGCATCCGCACGCCTATAATAGTTCTTCCATCATTACCATTACCTGCGAACTGTGTAGCAATATTGGTGTGTGGGTCGCGACCCCATTTTATGTGTGCGGACCTGTTAGAAAGCTTTCGTATGATATATATGAATGTGTGAAGTCACACTTGACAGACACGTGGTTGGAACTTTTGATAGCATTGGTGGGAAGGGTAGGTCTGTGTACATACAGTACTGATGGCTACCCCCAGTCCTGTCCACAAATCATTCACTGTAGGCAAAAAGTGGCATCGAAACCACACTGAGGAATACGGCTTCTCCTAGAACCATTGGGGGAACACAATTGACTTTGGATAAAGGCTAATTGTTGTACTTACTGTCTTCCTACACTCGACCCATGCTCAGCCATCATCGCTGAAGCCAAGCCTTCAGTTGTAATAAAAGAATACCGCTAAAGAAGCTTCATCCCGATACCCTGCAGAGGATAACTCTGAACCTTAGGCGGAGTAGGAGGACACGTCGAATCCGTTTTGTCTTAACCTTCACACATCTTTTTTTACTTCTGCCCCACAAATTCGTTACATTTTTTTCTTTTTAAGGTTTCCTCCATATGTTAAGACAGCTCTTCAATCTGTTCTCCTCAAAATTACCTAAACTGGGCACTGGCGCGGCAGTGTCGGCAACTCCTGTGGCCTCCCTCTCTTCTCTTCGTCTGCTGCCGATCGTCCCTACCAGGTACGCACTGTTTCCTTACATCCCCTGTTCGCCTAGATTCTTGTTTAGTGGGAAACTTACGATCACGGTTGGTACCATCTACCGCATGTTCAATGCCTCGTTAGCAGAGGTTCTTCGTGGGCAGATGTTTGTCCGGGCAGTGGACGGTCAAATGACGCAGGAAGACTAGAAATTATTTACCTGGATGTTTGCAAATGCATCTGTTTCGGTCTATCAGCGTACAGCGATGGCAGTAGGGATTGCCAGTTTTTTGCCGGCTTGGGTCTCAATATGACTGACCGGCGCCGGGCTCTAGTCCAAAAACAGCGTTCCCGTGACCATTGTCGTTCTCGGCAAAATAAACTCTCCATTTCTCTCCTTGTCAGGCGCGACAACCAGGTTCAGGAAAGCGTACCAGTATTCCTTCAGGTTTGTACCGAAAAAAATTGTCTTTTTTAAAGCCATCAATGCCCTAGTCAAATGTTCTCGCATGTCCCACACCGCCCACAACAAGCACGAAATACGCGCCTTCCACAAGTGGAAAGCGTGTTCATCGGCTCCTTCTTCATGTGACCCCTATGGTACTCTAGCGCATGTGAGATTTGTGCAGTCCACCCCGGTTGTACGAAAACCCGATGTGTGGTGTGTGGGGGCAGGTCGGTATGCCGTGTGTGGCACTCACGGTCTGTTTAACTCAACCACTTACACCAAATCCCCGCATCAGGCAGCTGACCGATCCGGACAGTGAACTGGTGTCTAGGAGAGGGAAGAGAAAAGGTAAGGCCCATTCTCGGCGTATATTCCTCTTTATAAACAATCCGGTACGCTTGGATCTACGACGGTTGCGTTAAAAGTCGTGGCTTGTAAGACTTCCAACTGACGGAAAAACTCGGTCCTCCTCTCAGGACGGAGAGTTAGGCTGCAGTATCTTCTTCAAAGTGTGCTCTATAATGGCACTCCCATTCTGTTCGCATCTGTGCCGCCCCCTTGTGTGAAATCCTGGTTCTCTGTGAGTGGACTTTGGAGTGTGGTGGCACGCCTCAGTGCGGGTTCACGCCGTGCCAACCACCTGCGCCCGATCCTGCCTCCGATCTTAACACTGGGCTCAGGTGGGGGGGGGGAGGAGAGGGTGCGTAGGTACTACGCAAGTTTGGCATCATTATATGCTAATTCGCACCCCCCACCCGCCGTCTCTGCGTCCACCTTGCTGTGGGGCACACTGTGGACATCGCCGATAGAAGCGAACAGGCGAGTTCCAGGTAGCTGTTCAGAAGACGAAGATGTGATCACGGGAACAAGAAATTTATTCGCCTGACGTTTCGGAACCTCACTTGAACCCATCATCAGAGTCAGTCGCAGGTAAGTGTAATGGTGGCACAAGGAGTGCAGTATTTATAGCACGTGGCTGTCTTGGGACCATATGCGCACTGGTGCCTGGGAATTGGAAGAGAGAGAGAGATAGGGTGAAATGGACTCGAAAGACTGCGTCGGCACGGCACTCAGCACATATTCCTCGCTATAACCAATCTGAAGCACTATTTAATCATGGTGCGTTAAATGGCGTGGCTGGGATACGTTTGTCGTCCGCTCAGGATGGACGGCAATAGCTTCTTCTTGATGTTGCCGCTATGACACTCCTACTCAGTTGGGATCCCGTCCGCCGCCCTTTGTTGTTTGTGTGGAAACCCAGTTCATCATGTGCGGACCAGGAGCGCGTGCATGGTACGAGCACACGTGCCGTTTAGATTTGTCAGCCACAGCGCCTGATCCCGCCTCCGACAGATGCAGCGGGCAAAGGTATGGAGAAGGACCCCACTTAATTGACGGCAGACTGTGGACCAAGTCATAAGGTCTTTTATCTTGGCATCCATTCGCAGGCCTTTGCAGACATTACACTGCCAATAACAAACACTTGCCGTGACTTCAAACCATCACTCAAACTCCTCTATTTTTTGAAATTTACCTTTTGTTTATTCTTAATCACCGCGCTCAGTTCCGTTGTCGTACAAAAGCGTACGACGAGTCTTTAGGGAGAAATCCAAATTATTTCTGTGATTTCCTGCATTTCGTCAGCTTACTGTGTAGTGCGCTGTCCCACCCCTAAACCTCCCCTTACCGCCAATTACGGATGACGTGATCCACAGTCTGCCGTCAGTAAAGTGGGGTCCTTCTCCATACCGTTGCCGATACAGCGCAATTTACCGTTCCCGCGCTTACCCTGCTCTGGGATGCACGGTAAACATGGTCAGTACCGACTTTTGAACTGTGAATAGGCTGTAGTGCTGATTGTTGATGTAAGCCATCGCAAAGCATCCTCTAACGTCCATAATCATGTCATATGTTTTATTTATCTGCAACAGCAAGGCTCGATTGCCTTAAAGTAGTCAATTTCAAATAGATTTGGGCAGTGTTTCTGCTGTTTATTCTTGGTATGCATCAAAATAGACTTTAACCATACTTACGTGTTCCATGTGTAGCAGTCTTCTGATAGTCGGTGTCACCCGATTGTAAAACCATTTGGCGACAGTGTCGTATGTAGCCCCACCTAGTCAGTTTTGTAAAGCGTGCCTACTTATTTTATTTAGGCATGTGTCGGCAACGTTAGCACAACTAGGATGATAGTTAAGATTAATTAGTTTTTGACGCAGGATTCCAAGGTTAGGGTTAGTGTTAGGGTTTTAAAGTTAGCATCAGGGTTGCGGTTACCGCAGCGGACAGCGGTATGGAGAAGGACCCCACTTAACTGACTGCAGACTGTGGATCGCGTCCCAAGGTCTTTCATCTTGGCATCCATTCGCAGGCCTTTGCAGACATTACACTGCCAATAACAATCACTTCCCATGACTTCGAACCACCACTCAAATCCTTTTTTTTTGAAATTTGCCTTTTATTCTTAATTACTGCGCTCATTTCCGTTGTACGAAAGCGTATGACGAGTCTTTCAGGAGAAATACAAACAATTTCAGTGTTTTCCTGCATTTCTTCGGCTTACTGTCTAGTGCGCTGCCCCATCCGTAAAACTGCCCTTACCGCCAATCACGTTTGACAATATCTACATTCTACTTATAGTACAGTGGGGTCCTTCTCCATACCGTTGCCGATGCAGCGCAAGTTACCTTCCGCGCGCTTACCCTGCACTGGGATGCACGGTAAACCTCGTCAGTACCGACTTTTGAACTGTGAATAGGCTGTAGTGCTGATTGTTGATGTAAGCCGTCGCAAAGCATGCTGAAACGTCCAAAATCTTGTCATATGTTTTATCTAACTGGTAGAGTACGGCTCGATTGCCTTAAAGTACTCAATTTTAAATAGTTTTGGGCAATGTTTCTGCTATATTTTCTTGGTATGTTTCAAAGTAGCCTTTAAGCATACTTGTGTGTTCTTCATGATATAACAATCACCACAGATATCCATCTGTAGCAGTCTTCTAATAATTGGTGTCACCCGATTGTAAAACCATTTGGCGACGGTGTCATATGTAGCCCCACCTAGTCCGTGTTGTAAAACTTGCCTACTTATTTTATTTAGGCATGTGTGTCGGCAACGTTAGCACAACTACGATGAGGGTTAAGACTAATTAGTTTTCGGCACAGGATTTTAAGGTTAAAGTTAGTGTTAGGGTTTTAAGGTTAGAATTAGGGTTGCGGTTTCCGGGTTAGGGGTTTAAGGTCAGTGTTATTGTTAGGAATAGGGGTTTGAGTTTTACAGTTAAGATTAGGGTTAGTGTTTTAATGTTTAATGTAAGTATTAGGGTCTAGGCTAGGGCTTCGAGATTTGGGTTAGGGTTAGGTTTGGGATTTAACGACTAGCTTTAGGGGTTACGATTAGCTCACGAGAACGCATATAATGGGTCCTATGTTGACTACTAAGTCAGAGTTGCCAGTAATGCTACGTGTCGCTGGACTGACCATGGTCAACTCACGAAGATACATTTGATGGATCCTATGCTGACTGTTAACTTGCATTCCCAGGTTCGTATTAAACCCCTTGGGGGTGGCGCCATCTCGCGGCATAAAAAGCAAGGAAGTGAAACGTTACTGGACCGAGGATGGCACTCACGATCCGCCTCTTCAGGATGCAGTGGATCGTTTTAAGAAACTGCGCTGGGGCGCGTACATTCACGCTCGTGCTGGGCGTCGAAAACATCTCTACCGGTTAGTTCATATCTGACTTGCCACCTATCTCCCTCCCCCTCTGCCTTCCCTTCCCCAAGATCCGAAGTAGTAATTTTTTTGCTGGGGAGTGTCCACACTTTTGGCCTTCTACTATTCTTTGATGCCTTTATTATAGGAATTACTGGCACGCCATTCTTTGGATATTTCTTCTTTATGTTATAAACGAATTCTAATCACAACTACGTACGAACATAATAAACAACAGCTGATCTACTGAGGTCCGAGCAGAAGAAGAAGAGGAAAATCCGATGACGGGAATGAAAAGTTTATTGGCCTGGCGTCTTGAGTTTTTACTCGAACTGCCCTCCTAGAACTCGCGTATTCGCTTCTAGAGGCCCCGAATTTTTTTCATTGAAACCTCCGTTTTCCTGCCGGAGGTTGGATCAAAAACCAAAACTTCATACAGAACTACTCTTACGCAAGGGGATCCAGTTCCATTGTAGGCGGAAAGAGAAAAGCTTAACTGAATGACATGGGGTCAGCGTTCATGAGCGCCTGTAGGTGCGATGCATCTTTTAGGAATCATCTGGTAAATTTTTCAAATGTTTCTTTGCCATTTTACCTTCATATGCGTAGTTGGGGCTTCTGAATCTCTTCGGGAGCTATATAATTAGGTTATCGTAACGAATGCAGTTGTTTTGGGTGTCGGGCTTACTACTAGGCTTAACTTTAGGATTATGGCAAGGGTTTAGGTTTGAGTGAGTGTCCGGTCAAGGCAAAGATTATGCCTTACGGCTTGAGTTAGCGTTAGGTATAAGCCTAAATGAATAGGGTTACATTTATGGTTAGTTTTGACCCTAAACCTTATTCCAATCATAATCCAAATCCCTACATTAACCCTGACCCTACTCCTTAGCCTACATTAAGCATAACCCCAACCCTAGTCATAAACCTGACGCCAAACCAAACTCCATCTTTCAGTCTAATTTAGGCCTTTTCATATTGTTACCCCTCAGAAATTTGAAATGTGATAACCCCAGGGCTCTTGTCAAGAATTCGTATTTTAGGTAGTCAGAACTATAACTGTACACTAGATTCTTGCCCTTTCTATCGCGAATTCGAACTCAGCCAGGGCTGCCGGGTCTTGTTCAATTTGACAATTAGGTATGATGCTAGCTACACATATTGAAGAAAGTGCGGCAGATGTACTATCACGTGTTAACTGTCATTCCGAAATGTGTTTTCGATTCGGGACGACTACCAAAGTCGGTTTGCTATACTGATTATCTAACCGCATAATTTTAAGATATTTCATTCACGTTAGAATCCTGGCTTTTGAGTGCGCTTCTCTTCGGCCATCGGCACAAACTATACGCTGAAAAAATGGCCACTTAAGCAGTGTGATTATTAAAATTGACTTTCTCTGGCCTTACAAATTCAATTATATTTTATGGGAAACGTTCGGGGAAAATATTCCTTGTTGTAATCATTCGGTAGTTGGTTACGTTTTCATGTTTAATGCTTTGAGAATGGGCGATCATCCACTTTTAAGAAGAACTTCTGATTATGATGCCTTTTAGACCGCAAAATATCCATTTACGCAGTCTTGCATCGGCAAGTTTATTAATGTTATTTATAAAGTGTACAACCTGGTCCACATCCGTCGCACAATGTTATGCCCGCTGTATGACGTCTTCCTAAGTGCATGGAGAAGTGTTTGGTATCGCCATGACGAAAAATTTACATCACGCAGTTTGACAACCCTGGGCGCAGATGTAACGGCAGGTTGGGCTCAAAATTATTCGGAAATCGAAAACGTTTCGAAAAACCAAAAAAACCCTTTCTTAGAGTTTAAAAATTGAAAAAGGACATAATTTCCTGGCAAACGAGTACAGGAGAAGATATTTTTGTTTACTTTTCCTATAAGATATGATTGAATCCGAAAGGGCATCGAAAATCAACAGGGAAAAATCATGCTACTCAAGTCGTCTTTGCCGACGCCCGAGAAAAAGCTCTTTGAAAAGTCGGCATCCTGGCGTGACTGAAATATCCTGCGGCTGTGCTAGGAGATAATTATTATTACAGCCCCACTAAAGTAATCCCTCCTAATCGAAAAAAAATTAGAAATTCCGTAAACAGTTTTTGAGATAGAACCTTCACTGTAGCAATGAAGAATGCGCATCTGCACCGGGTTTTTTTTCAAAGCGTCACCCAAAGCTCACCTTACACCCCCCGCCCCCTTTCAGCCAGTTTCACTTTGTTAGGTAGCCTTTGAAGGGAAATATCAAGTGGCTGCCCTCCGGCGGACAAGTCTCATCTGCTTGCCGAAGTCAACAGTCGCAAATGTGTTGACCTTGTGACTCGCCACTCCTGAGCCAGTTCGTCCTTTGAAGCCGCAGTAGCCTATGCAAACGCTGAGGTTTGCTGGGGAGGGTGTCGGCGACGTGCAAGGCGGATTTAAGTTTTCCCACGGAACACACAACGCTCACGGCCTACTGACCGATCATGGCATCCTTTTGAGCGGTTTATCCTGGTGTGCCCTTGTCAGGACAGGATATATAAGTTGTCACTTTTGATTAGAACGTGGTTCAGGAATGCAGCGCTGCCCCGAAGAAGGAGACACGATCGCTGGGACAAGAACTTTATTAGCCTGACGTTTCGGATTCTTACTCGAATCCGTCATCAGAGACAACAGCAGATACAGGTGATTTACGCGCAAGGAGCTGCAGTATTTATAGGATGCAGTCGCCATGCTATCGCATACCTACGAACATTCACGGCTCCCCCCTTCATTGGCGATCGTTGCACTTGGTGTGATAACTGTTTGATGGTCGACACATGCGTCGTTAATTTTTTCAGTTTCATCACGTGCGTTGAATGTTGGCTTTATGATTGCTCGACCATCTGACGCACCGACCCTGGTGTTGGGAAAACTCTTCATCTGGGCGCTCCCCACGTGGCTAATTACTCCGCCCAGGCGAAGTTTCAGCACAGACTATGGAAGGGGAAGTTCATTGCACTTGTTAATGGACTAGGGACCAGTAAACCAGGATTCAAGTAGCTCCCAGCTCACGCGGTCGTCACCTCTTGCGAGAATTTCGGCCTCGTCGCACTGTTGTTCTTTTAACGTGCTACAGAGTATCAGCGGACCCCTAATGTGAAAATCAGTAAGGCCAGTTCACTTACTCAGTTTATACCCTTGTTGAGCGCACGCTATTTTACTGGAAGACTTACGAGTACTTTGTTTTGTTTTTATTTTCCCAGAAAAAATCCCTGGGTGGTTGCCAAGAAGGATGAACACATCCTCACCAATAGGGCAACGTCGTTCCTCGTGGACAATTTAATGAGCCGCTACTGGCGTCGACCCCAGTTCTATCCTCAGGACATCTATGAGCCCTACCACAAACGCACGGGCGTGCCATGGGACTACGAACTGCACAAAAGGCGCTTTTACCCCTAACTCCTTTTCCCCTTTTTCATTAGTAAATTGTCGTCTTTTCTCAGCTACTCTTGCGTTCCATCCATGCGTGTCTATAAACTGCCGGCGAAAGTCTACAAGGGCCATTTACGAATGGCTTAGGGAAATACATTATCGCGTAAGCCATTTCGATTCTGTCTCGCAAGACTGTACACTTGCTGGTTTTCTGGTATTCTGTGGATGGAACTGAGGCTGGATTTCTCTAAGATCTTTGTTAACATCCGCCGAGAACATGTGTATGCTTGTTTCAGGCTCAGCTGGTCTTCCGCATCTGTTGACGTAGATTAAGGGACATTTAACGTGACTCCTGGATATGCAGAAGTAGATTTCCTTGAGGTTCCTCTAAGAATAATTAACTGTAAGGAGTCCAGATGTGCTTTTGAATGAAGATATTTTGCAGCAGAACGGTTCTGGACGCAGTGTTGTAGACTTGAAAATAACGCAAACAAAACCAAACTGAATGTTTTTAAAAGCCCGTAACACCTGAGCAAATGCAGTTGAACTGTTAGCCGGCCAGAGCGCATGCACATTAGAAACGACTGTAGCGATACAGCAGAACATATCATGCCGAGGGTTTTGTTGAATAACCCAGAGGGCCCTGCTGAACTCCTTAGCATGTTGTCTAACGCTCATCATGCCGTTAATTATGTAGAAGTCAGGATTCTTTACTTATTTTCCGTAAAAATGCAAAAACGCGTAGGCCGCGTGATGTTTTTGCTAAAACTTGTGGGATGCTACAGTAGATGAAATACAAGAACAGTATTAACATTTTAAAAAAATCAAACGACAGTTCGCACAGGCAAATTAATGTGGGTTTACTAAATTGTGTCCTTCTTTTTTTAGTACGCATTAACCAATCTGAAGGTACTGATGTTTCGGCACATAATAACAAAACGGATCACTATTAGACATCCGGGATGAGTGTTTGAATGAATTAGAAACCGGTCTCGGTATTCCGATCTGTCGTACTGATGAATTGTTGACATCTGATCGTCACGTGTAAATGGGAAAATGTTTCTGGTTTATACAGATGAAAGTCTGAGCTGATAATTTGAGAAAATAATAGTCACCCTCGGAATCGATCTGTTATGTTATCGGGCCGTTCGATGCGGCTGCCACTGCCGTCGTTAATACTACTAATCTTTTTATTCCTGCCTACATTATTTATGATGTCGCTGCCGTTACTACTAATTTTTCTGCTTCTTCGAGCCATCGGTATCAATAATCTCGTTAGTGGAACATGGAGGATATCAAGTTAAGGGACAAAATAATATTGAAAGCTAGACTGGAGCCTGATGAGATATAATAATGTACAAATTGTAATGACGTAAGCGCCCTGTGTTAACACGCATTCTGTGCTAGTTTCTTCAGCCTAGATCCGGAATGGTTAGAATGTATTATTCAAACGTTATATATTTATTCAACGCACGAGGCGTGCGGATCAAGCCATATCATTTCGTTTATGAGCAAGTGGGTTTGAATATTTTATACTATAACTTTCTTAGTAGAAATTTACGTCTACAAATGCCATAATCGAAGGTAGGGTAAAATTTATTTTTAAAATTTTTGCGGACCCCAGAAAAATTTTGAATCCCACATACCGTTGCATTTACATTGAATGTTCACAAACCGCAAACTTTATGTATTTCAAGCATGGGAAATTAAAAATGTCCACACTCTCTAAGGAAGAGGCTGTATGGAGTTCATAAAATAAAACCGTAGAGTTTAGGCTTAAAAGAAACTTTACAAGCAACACAAACAAGTGCAAATTTGTGATGTTTTCTGAACGGACGTTTTACGGTCTTATAACCAAATTATGTCCTTCCATTGAGTATAACATTTGAAGAAGAGTTAAATTTATACCAAATGAGCAAAATAATTAATGTTTTGTACATGTTGCATATGAACTATATTTGAGTATAAAAGAACACCAAAACGGTGGAAAAACTCATACCACTCAAGTAGTTAATTCTACAGATTAGATGTTTTGCAGGCGGCCAGCAAGAAGTGCGTTCTAAAGCTGACATCCTGAAGAAGCTGGATTTTTATAGGATGACGATTCAAGCCTATTAATATTGCAACCCTACTTAAATTAAATTTTCGTTTCAAAAACGCATTGTAAAATTGTGTTTGACATTTCACGACTGAGCACATTAATTGTAAGGAGGGCATGTTATTTACTCATTGTCGTCTTACTCATACAACCCAAGAAGATGGCTATGCTAATCTACGCAGAAGAAGGCCTATCGGTACGTATTAGTCTTAATTGTCAAAGAAATGGCGAAATTTCTGTCAGTGTCACTGATGATGTGTACGAGCGAGAATCTGAAACGGCAGACAAAGTTTTTGTCTTAGTGATCGCGTCTACTTCTTACCTGTTTGAGAACACGCAAATTAATAATGCCTTCACCAAACTTCCAATGACCTCTGGAATCCTCATAATAGTAAAATGGCACATAAATTGAGTGACCGACACTTCCATCCTTTGGGAACATCAATATACTGATACAGTGTGAAAAATTCCCAAATCCCTAACTTTTACAAACCGATAGATGGCTTTCCACCATTATGAAATTTGAAGAAGTGTTTCAGATCAGTCGGAAAAGGTCGAGATTGCATCTGTTTCAATCAACCAAAACACATGCCTACTAATTGTCTTAAGGCGCGAATGAAAGACGCACACATAAATGTCGCTATCCGAGAGTGGTATCCAATTAGCGCCCATGCGCATAATCGTATCTGTTTAGAACTAGTGGCAAGGGTTAGAGGCTAGAGTTAGGATGACTGGTTGAGGGGTTAGGGGTCAGGGTTCGGGTTGAGGCTGGGAGTTGAGATTTAGGGTTAAGATTGCGTGTGAGCGGTTAAGGTTAGGGGTTGGAATTAGGGCGAGGCCTGTCTACTGCAGGTACGGCTACGAAGCAAGACCCGATCCAGTCTCGGACTTTTTCTTATTTATTCTTATCACCCTGAAGAGTAAATGACCAATTTTAATAACTTGACTTTGTGAGAATAACTCCAACACCTATCTGTTTAGTTCTGGCCGAGCGTCTTTAATCGCTGAGTTCGTAAGAACGATCGGTGAGCGTCCCCTACCAATCGCTGTCTGCTAACACCAGTTTTCCTAATTTTTTTGATGCAATTTGGGAATCACAAAATTTACGAAAATGATAATTGGAGTTTAAGTAAATCGCTATTTATTTTTTTTGAAATGGGGTAAATAAAGGCAACTGGTTTGATCTGACATAATACATAAAGCTAGTTTGCAGGGCTTTCGGATCTGCATGATTTATGACTGTTGCATTCATGAGCACTTGGCATAAATATTCCTGCAAAATTCCAGTAAGATCCTTGTGTGCGTATTTCAACATGTTGGCTTCATATTCAACACGATAGGCTTATATTTTCACCTAAAGACAAAAAAGATCAATAAATGAACAGCGACAGCTCAAGCGAATGGGGCTTGCATTTCAAAAAGTTTTGCCAACATGCTTACAGTACTCTTAAAATCCCTGTAGATACATTAAAGATTGCAAATGTCAAAGACTTTGCCCGTTCGAAATAAGCGAAGCAAACATCTTTTTGAGAGAGACAACAGCGTTTTGTACACCGGTCGCTCTGCCGACGTAATTCGGGCGAACACCATGTGTTTCCACCGCAACACACAGCCGAAGTAGTATTGAAAAGAAAAGAAGGGCTGATATTTGGAAAACAAACACAAACACTAAACATGACTTCACCGTCCGGATTCGTTGTCCATCAGCAGAAAACCAACTAATTACTACGGTATCTTCCCTAGCAGGTCTGAAAGACAAAGCTAGAAATCACTCCACTCACAGGGGCGATCTAAGTCTCACTCATCGGATTAGGGAGTAATCTACGAGATGGAGTTCGCGCGATGAAAACAGAAGTCTCGAAGACAACGTACGATATCCCTAACGCTGTCAACGACAACGCAGCAGAGGGTCCATTGTTAAGTACAGTAGATGTGCGAACTCATGAAATGTCAACCAAAATTTCGAAATGCGTTCTCGTTTCGTAAAGATAAATTAAGTAGTGTTGTAGAACTAATCATTATTCAGCATAAATCTATAATGATTCAGTTACCTAAGGGTGTCGGCTTTCGAAAGAACTTATTTTTGGCTGCATGCAAGATCTATACGCTTCAAAAATAACTACTTAATTAGTATGTAATTTTCCCATCGATTTTCGATGCCCTTGAAAATTCAATTATATTTCATGTAAACCATGCATAAAAATATTTATTCTTTTACTTATTCGGTAGAAAGTCACGTTTTCTTCCAATTTCATACTCAAAAGAAGAGTATAATTCGGTTTTAAAAACTTTTCTAATTCCTCAATAATTTTGAACCCGACCTGCTATTACACTTGCATTCAGGGTTTCAAATTTACTAGCTGTATATTTTCCGTGTACGGAAAACCATGCATTTCTCTACGGTATTAAGAGGAGACCGTACGAGGTTCATAAAATTAAACAGTGGATTTGAGCAATATCGTTAACTTTACAAGCAAAATTCGCAAATGCAGATACATGACGTTTCATGAACGGTCATTTAACGGTGTTACAACATCTCACAATTGGAAACTTTTTTATAACCAAATTATACACTTTTATGAGTATGAAATTGGAAGAAGACGTGATTTTCTACCAAAAAAGTAAAAGAATGAATATTTAGTGCATGTTTTCCATGAAATATAATTGAATTTTCAAGGGCATCGAAAATCATTTATAAAATTGCGTACTTGATAAGTAGTCATTTTTTGCAAAGTATAGATTTTACATGCAGCTGAATATTAGTTCTTACGAAAGCCGACACCCTGAGGTAACTGGATCATTATAGATTTATGCTGAATAATGATTAGTTCTACAACACTACTTAATTTATCTTCTTGAAACGAGAACGCATTTCGAAATTTCGGTTGACATTTCATGAGTTAGCCCATCTACTGTAAGTAAGCGCTGG